GGTTGTGAGGACTTCTTATTCTCCCTCTGTAATTTTTCTCTTTCATGAATGAAAATGATTTCCTAAAAAAAACTCTAGTATTTCTTATTGATAACTAGATTGGAATTCTGAGTTTCTCGTGATCATGAGTTGATGACTATTGATCGTTTAACTGTTTCAAATATGTAAACATACCATAGGCAATTATCTAACATTCCATGTCCCCCCAATTAAGCTATCTTATAATACCTTTTTATTTGATTAGAAAACCAAGAGGGCTCCTAAGGTTGAAGTTGGAACCAAGTCTTCAGATGCATCATTAGACGAATGGCTTGAGGTAAGTTCATCGATCTGCTATTAAATTCTATCAAAATTCAAAGTCCTATTCTGACCAAGACTGATATATTCCTCTTTTTGACACGCAGGGTACTGCATATTCTCAGTCATCGTCAAACAAATCAAAGAAAAAGAAGTAGATCAATCTTTTTTGTCTGCCTTTTCTTTTCTTCAGCTAGACACGCAACAGATACGCAGTCTCTTGAAACTTACACTTAGGCATTTGAATTATTTAAGAGGTGCATCCTGATAGCAGTTTCTGGAAAAATAGGCAGAGTTTAGACTTTGGAGAAGTTGAGTTGTTTCAAATTTGAACTGACCCAAACATGAATAGAGACAACAGAAATATTTTAATTTAATCAACATTTTTGACCATATACCTCTTGTTGTTGATGGATACATTTGGTTTTCTATAGGATCTCGAGATCTAAATTCCTTCAAAAGAAAAGGCATTTCAGTGCTCCAATCTTATCCAATTTTATTTGTTCCTTTATCCTTGTGGATGGCTTGTGATATCATATATGCCATCCGTTTTGGAATTAGTTGTTATTATGGTCATTATAAGATTTGGTTATTCAAGAAACAAACACCATCAAGATTCACGTGAGGCAGTTGCTGGTGGATGTTCGGACAGTCACGGGTGTGATTCTTGAATTGGACTTCCTCCTCTTGATTGCATCCCCTATTGAATTATTCGTTTTTAATTGATCAACTTGAATTGCCTGAATGGTAGGCTGTGTGGGATTTGACTTTTGATATATAGCTGTTATAACTTTTCCCTTTTTTTTTTCTTTTTTGAAAATAATTAGTTTTTCTACTTTTTCTGTAGCTGTTATTGGTTTCAAATCACATGAAACCAATTATGCATTTTGCAGGTAGGGCGGTGTGTACTATTTATTATTATTTTTTTTAATCTGAAAAAATGCATTAATAAGAAGTATGCTCACTAAGGATTATATCTGAAAAGTGGTGACTACGCATCACATTCAGAATCTATAAAGGAAAAGAGGGACAGGTAAACGATTAAAAATGACACATTTGGTTAATAAAATAGCTTGTCTTTGAGGAATACAAACAAAATTGAGTCCACTAAATACCTTCTCGAAAGTCGTAGCATCTTCAACCTCGTTCAATGTCGTTTGGGGGCATTATGATAAATTTTTATTTCAGAGTTTCTGTGTAATTTTATTACTTTCCATTTTACCCTTTCTTGAATATATTGAATATGGGTATTTTAGTCCTTTTGTTTTGATTGATGACGTGACATTTATGGTTTAGTTGGGAGGCTAGTATGGCCTTTAGTTTGTTTACAAGATTATAGTATTAGATAAGTTTTGATGGAATTTTAGCTCTTCCTTTCAAGTTTAGCTAAGATGCTTTTTTGAATTAATTTGCAATTTCATGTTTGTGTTTGTTTGAGTTGTATGCCAAGAACATTCAAGTGAGATTGATCATCCTATCTTGTGAAGTGTTCGACTCTTAGGTCCAAGGACATGTTCTTTGTCTTGAGAATTTTGATCTCAAGGCAACCCGTATCTAACTTAAATTTTAGAGTTGAAATCGAATCGATTTAGAGGTTTTAGTATTTGTGAATTAGGGATTCATGTACCTAAAGTATTCCTAATTTTAATTCGCTAGCAAGTTGTTTTATTCTCCACCGCAGCAGTGTACTATTATTACCATTATTGTTGTTATTATTGGGGGGTTAGTTTTATTTTTCATCAGAACTGATGGTTCATTTGATTCACGTTTCTTGGTTGGCTGATTTGCAGAATTTAAGAAACCAATCTGTCAAAATTGCAGTTGATTTGCAGTTCATTAAAGTTCCTCTGTTTTCCCTCTTCTTCTTACTTTGCAATTTGTTAATTCTTGTTTCAATTTCGTCCTCATCGTTTCAGAACCAAAATGTTTAGTATCTGTTTGTTGTGGAAATCTGGATGCCCTTGCCATAAGGGTTCTAAATCCCATGTTTACTTTAATGGAATTTGTGAGTGGATGCCTGCAATTTTAGAATGTCCATTCAAAGATTTCCATGCCAGAGTATTCTCCTTTATTGTTACTTTTTATTTTCTACCTCATAATACATTTATTTATATACCTTTTGAGTTCGGGTGAGGATTATACAGTTTTTTAGTTCAGGTGAGAATTTGAACTTCTGACCTTTTGATTGGGATGAGCACATATTTGTGATATTCTTGCCTTCTTGATTTATACTCTTCTATATTGTTGAATTACTTGTATATATTTGTCAATAATTATCATTGTTAATTTACAGTAGTTAATTGCATATCATTTTCACACCGTCTTTTGCTAATTAAATGTTCAGGTATCGATTTCAAATCACGTCTTGAATAACTTGAAAATGAGCAAGCACCTGGCGCCTCTTTCAACCATATAAAAGGTCCAAATTAAGTTAAATAAAAAAGGTTCAATTTGAATTGGGTTATTTTTAATAAAAACTATGATTGAATTTTACTCTAATCTTGTTGTTCATTTAATCTTACTTGAGAGCGGAGGAAATTGTGTTGTTTCTTTGTCAATAAGATAAACTGGCTATTAGAGAATACGTGTATATATACATATATTTCTCTTTCTTATTTATCAAAAATTTAATTGTGGTCAGAAAAAATATGGATGTTGAGCACATCACATATTCACCCAGAAACTAGTAATCTCATAACCACATTCATGATGTGAGTTAATTTGATGGTCAAGAGACAGAACGATAAAACTAAATAAACTTCAAGGTCCTAAATATGAATTTCGTGTTGGCCATCTACCCAAAATATTAAAAACATAAGATTATTCATGTTCAAGAAAAAGTCTCATAATCACATATCAATTAGCAAAGACCAATTTAAGTAATTAAAAGATGGATTAAAGATTCAAATCTCTCAAGTAGGATGAAAAATTCAAACTCACGATTTATGAGTAAGATACAAGTGTCAATTATCGTTGAACTGTTAAAAAAAATAATAAAATAATACAAAATTCATCGTTAAGTGCCAACAGCTGGATTCCCACAAGTGTAGTTAAAGTGTCACGTTGAAATTGAAAAGTATTAGGCAGATTGGATTTGGCCTCATCAAGGCTCGCCAACTTTGGAGGCTTTTCATTAATACAACAGGTAGCCATCATTTAAGCCTTGGCAGTAAATAGGGCTCAAAATTAGCTAACATTGCACTAACTTGGAACATGCTTGCGGACCGCTGTGAGCCACTATTGGTACTTGGTAGATGGATCTGATTTTATTTATTCACTGATAAATTATGGTGTAATGTCTCATCATTTTTTGGACCTTTTTTTTTTTTCGCGCTCTTAATACTCTCCTTTATTTGCACCCATATGATATAATGTAATGTCTCTTCTTTACGATGATGGTTGAATATATAGGTTTATCGTGCTACTCATACCCCTGTACTTGTTTCTTTTGAGTTTTGTGAAGGAAAATTAAAAAACTTTAGGTCGGCATGACAACCATTTTGTTTTTTTCGCGCCGAAGCGAGCATAATTCAGCCGTAATAAAAAAACAAATTTGTTTAGATTTTATGCTATAAGAAAAAATTGTTTAAAACATAGACAAGTTTTTAAGATCTATTTTTCTTGTGTCATGTGGGTAACGAATTTGTTTTTAATCAAAAAGTATTTGCTCTCTTACAATTTATTTGATATATTTATTACTTTTTAGAAAAAAGAAAAAATATAAAGCTGAATTTCTAGCCAATTTTCAATACACAAAACTTTTTTTTTAATTATTTTTTGTTTTTCAATATAGATAATAAAACTAAGAAACATCTAAGTGGGTTTTGTAAGCTTACAAAAATAATAACAATAAACAAACAAACAAAATGGGTATCACATTTTTTATAGGATTTCAAAATTTGGTTGAAATTTGATTACAAAACAAACAAACAAGAAATGATAGTAAAAACTTAAGCCCGTTTGATAATTTTTTTCCCCTGTTTTTGACAAATAAGCCTATAAACACTACTTCTCTTGTCTTCCTTTTTCAAAATCTAAATCAAGTTTTAAAAATTAAAACAAAAATAGTTTTTACACCTTGATTCTATTTGTTACCTTTGGCTAAAAAAATCAAACCTATCTTCATCTTTAATACTATATTTAAGAAAGGTGAAAAATATACCCAAATAAATTGTGAGAAAAAAAAACAAACTTAATTTTGAGAAACGTAAAACAAAAAACGAAATCATCAGACCCGAAACACCATCATAAGTTAACGCGCCTCATGAACCTTTCAAATTGCAGTTAAATTCCTGATTTTTTTTACTCCTCTAACAAAATTCATTTGAAATTAGGTTGATGATGCCGACACAAAATGACCCATATCCCTGCATTTGTTGGTTTGAACATAATTATTTCATAATGGTGTGTGTGAAAGCTACCTTCAACATCTTCAATATTGTCTATTTTAAACCAAAAGTAGCATGATTATTTTTATTATTATTAATTTTGAAGATTATTAAAAAAGGTTTAAAATTAATGAAGATGTTAGTGCATGATTCTTCATTTTTTCTAAGATGCGAGACTTCCATCATATTCCTAATAAAGACCCCAACAACTCCCAACTATATTTTGAATATATTTCCACTGTCACTGTAGAATATGTTACTATAATTTATTTCCATGTTAAAATAATAATAATAATAATAATCCAATGTAAATAGCAAATGACTTAGAGGGAATGAGTTCAAACCATGGTGGCCACCTATCTAGTTACCTTGTCAACCAAATATAATAGGATCATGGGGTTGGCCCGTGATTAGTCGAGGTCTGTCCCAGACACACGGATTTAAAAAAAAAATTAATAAATCAGAGTATATAATATTCGGTTCTGGGCCTAAGATGATGTTTTAACTAATGTTATTTACTCCACTCCTGTAGGTTGGAATTTGAAGGTTTAAATTCTTAAAAAATAATAATAAAAGAAAAAAACTTCAAAATTACACGTTAATGTATTTGCTATTTTAGTTTCCAAAATCCACCGACTGTGAAATAAATTAATGTACATGACATAAAATTAAAAAAAGCAGTAAATAAATTATAATAAATCAAAATCCGTGATACACACAAAAAAACTAAAAAACAAAAAAAAAAAAAAGGAAAAAAAATGCTGCAAAAAGCACAATTCTTTCATTGTCTGTAAAGAATAAATGTTCCTCTGTGAGATTCATGGAAATGTACTTTGTTTTATTGTCAATTGGAGAGTTCTTCAGTGGCTGTTTCAAACAGATAATTACCATATTCCCATTTTATCTAAAAGAAAAAAGAAATTTAAAAATTAAAAAGCCAGAGAGCAAACTTATTTATGTGATATGGTTAGTAGTAGGTTTACAGAGGTGTGGAAGCAGAGACCATTTTGATTACTCCTCATTAAATGAAAGAAAATGGCAGTTGATTCTTGGCTAGTGTGACCAACTTTTCTCATGCCCCCCATCTTTTTTTTAAGGGGTCCCCCTATCTCATGTGACATGTCCTTAACAAGGTCTCAAGACATGTAGCTTATACTCACTTGTGTGTGCAGCTATATAATGAGCTTCATCCATTTCCATTTCTTGTACATCGCCTCGAAGGCTAGCTCGATCATAGCTTCTGCTTGATCGGTCTCGGGAGAGTTGGTTTGGGTGGGTTTAGGATGGTGGCTTCCATGAGGAACCATCCTCTATTTGGAAGGGCACCCTTGTTGTGCTTCTTTTTGGTGTCCTTTGTTTTTGCTGCAACCTTGAGCTATGCTGATGAGAAGGTTGTCGAGGTCGTCGGGATCGGCGAATGTGCAGACTGCAAGGAGAGTAACATAAAAACTAGCCATGCCTTGTCAGGTTCATGCCATTTTTTTCTCTCATGGGATTGCAGTGAAAATTGTTTCTTAGATGTTATTGATTTGTTATATCACCAGATTTTAAGTTTCTTCTTCTGGTTTAGTTTCAGAAGTAGTCCTAACATGTTTGACAGCAGGCACTAATACAAATGGATATCTTCGGCCACATTTAATAACCATTCCGTTTTTAGTTTTATGTTTTTTAAAATTATGCTGGTTTGCTGACAATTTCTTTCTTGAAAAACACGTTTGGAGTCTTAACCAAATTTAAAAATATATATAAAAAACTTTTGTTTAGTTTGTAAAATGTAGTTAGGATTTTGAAAACGTTTTCAAAAAGTAAATACAAAACGAAAAAATACATGGGCGAATGTAGTGTTTTCAAGCTCAATTTTAGAAGATAAAAAACAAGAAACAACATGTGTATCAAAGGGCCTTCGATACTCAATTTATTTTGCATTCTATTTTTGGTTCCAGAACATTCATACTTATTCCATTTTGATTCATAAACTTCCTATTTTAGTCCTCTGATACTTAAGTTTTGCACAAAAAAACTACTTAATCAGTGTTGTTTATTTCATTAATCATTTTGAACTCACCTACACTTATTTTGAAATCTAATATTACACCTACCACGTGTAGCTTTAAATACTTACCTATATAAAAATATACTCGATCAAATAAGTAAACAAAAGACGTGTCAAACACAACACTCAATAACATCAGTCCGATATAGAAAGGGATGAAAATGGTCAGTTGTGCTGATACAATGTGTGTGTTTTCTACTTTGTGGCAGGACTGAAGGTAGCCATAGATTGCAAAGCAACTGATGGGCACTTAAAAACAAGAGGAATTGGAGAACTGAACGAAGAAGGAAAGTTCACAGTATTGCTGCCAAATGGCATTGTGGAAGATGGAAAGTTGAAGGAAGAATGCCATGCTCAGCTTTACAGTGCATCAGCCACCCCTTGCCCTGCCCATCATGACCTTCAGTCCTCCAAAGTGGCTTTGTTGTCCAAATCAGATGGGAAACACACCTTTGGGCTGTCTGGTAAACTCAAGTTTTCATCTGGAACTTGTACATCAGTCTTATTGTGGCCATTTTTCAAGTACCCTCCTCTTCCTAAGTTCCCACACTTTCCTCTGCCTCTCCCTCTTATTCCTAAGTTTCACCATCCACATTTCAAGCATTATGTTCCCCCATTCTCCTTCCCTCCACTCCCACCAAAAGTGTTTCCTCCAAAACCGTATTTTCCTCCCGTTTATCAGAAGCCTTTTCCTCCACCTGTACCTGTCTATGAAAAGTCACTTCCGCCGCCCGTTCCTGTCTATGAAAAGCCACTTCCACCATCGGTTCCTGTTTATGTAAAGCCTCTTCCTCCACCAGTACCAGT